GTGTATGCTAGGAGGGTACGTTTTCTCGAGCGCAAACTAGCGGAACACGTGAATTGAGTTCACTCAACCAGCTACCCCGAAAACCCGAACGAAGCAAGCGCAAGGTCAACTCAGGCTATGCCTAACGCACCGGAAGGGTATCGATCAACAGACAAGTGTTGATTTGAAGTCAGGACCTATGATCGAACGCGCGTTCGGCTAGTGCAAGCTGTACAGTGTGAATACTTTACCCGCGTCTGGCTCACGTGCTATTCTCAAAATGAACTCTGGTTTTTTGTGTACTCACCCTGCTCGTTCTTCATTGCTGGGGATTGGCCTACGCTCTACTCTAGCAGTGTCCGACACAACAGATTTGGCGACGACAACTCACGCAACATGTCAATAACTGCAGAGGAATTAAAGGCAATCCTGCACCAACAGCAAACTCAGTTCGAGGCGGCCCAGATGCGAATAATGGAAAATTTGATACGGCAATTCAGCAATAAATCATCAATTCCTGTCTCGGAAGAAAATGCAGCCGAAACAACTGCAAGTAGCATCACGGAGTTCCCCTATGAACCTGATGCTGGGCTGACTTTTGAATCTTGGGGCAAACGATATGAGGACATTTTCAAAATCGAGCTGAAGCACAAAGACGATACGTGGCGAGTCAAGATGTTGCTGAGGAAGCTTGGTACAAATGAGCACACACGATACACAAATTTTATCCTGCAAAGGAACGCCAGGAATCTCACTTTTTACGAAACCGTACGCCAGCTATGAGAAATTTTTGGTGAATGTTCTTCCTTGTTTAATGCCCGATACCAATGTATGAAACTAACCAAAGAGGATGGTGAAGATTTCATCCCATATGCTGGTAGAGTCAATTTCGAGTGGGAACAGTTCAAATTGTCTACTATGATAGAAGATCAGTTCAAGTGTCTGCTTTTCATTTTCGGTCTCCAGTCACACGCCGACAGTGATATCAGGACCAGGATATTCGGCAAAACTGTACTAGCCCCAGACATTAAGCTACTGCAGATAATGCATGAGTGCCAGCGTTTGGTAAACCTCAAGCAAGATACAGCCATGTTGGAGAGTTCAACATCCAACACCACTTGCAATGTCACAAAGACATGCTTAAGACAACCCACCGGAACAGGAGCACCTGTCTTAGCGAAACCATCATCTGCGTGTTGGCAGTGTGGCGAATGGCATTTCGTAGTTCTGCCCTTATAAGAAGCACAGATGCTCAGTGTGCAACCGACGCGGCCACAAAGAAAATCAATGCCGAACAAGGAAACGTGTCCGGACACCTAGCGAAAGACGTCGATCGTTCAGTCGCTCACATAAGACCGAGCCCAAATTCAACACCGTGCTTGCAATATCTGATCCCAATTTTAAGCGCCACCGCAAGTACGTGACTGCGAGAATAAACGGAAGAACGGTTCGTTTACAACTTGATACGGAGTCTGATATAACGATCGCGCCGAAAAGTACCTGGAAGTAACTGAGTTCGCGAGGATATTGTCGGACTAATAATACGGCCAGAAATGCATCCGGCGGTAAAATTGAATTGCTTGGTGAATTGGATTGTGAGCTGGCAGTTTCAGGCAAACGCCATCATGATACCATTTACAAAATTGGTCGTGAACTCAACACGCTTGGTATCGATTGCATTGATCGTTTGGAACATTCCGACAAGCCAATCAACAAATTGTGTTTAGCAATACCTACCCATATCTTGAGAGAGTCGAAGCCACCTGAGACAAATGTCCTACGGAAATCCAGCGGGAAGGAAACGACAGCGAGGATACTGTATACATCCATGTAAACCTATAGAATCACTGAAAATCAGCAAAGTACGAAAGGCTGTTCCCCCACAAAAGCCTTGATGAACAGGAAATTACGTTTGACACACGATGTTAGCCGACCAGTATCGGGCCAGCAGTGGGTTGTAACGCAAGAAAAACGTGCGCTGCACCCAGGAGATCGTGTTTTAGTTAGAGACTATTGCTGATGTCATCAAAAGTGGGCAGTGTGCATCAGTAAAGGACGTATTGGGTGTGCCTTGTACGACGTGCAGGTGGGTCGGTTGCTGTGGAGGCGCCACATTAACCAACTCTCGTCGTGATCCAGAAAGAGGAGATGGACCACTTAGTCGTGATCTTCTATTGGAGGCATTGGAAATATAAAAACACTGAAACCGGAACGGCATGTAATCTAGACCCGACGACAGATGACATGCCCCAGCAAAGACGCAAATCTAGCTGTCCGCGTAAGGCAGTACCTCCGTTGCAGCTCGATCCAAGACGGAGATCGTGCATCGAACGCAAACGCATCGAGCACAAACTAGCGGAGCACGTGAATTGAGTTCACTCAACCAGCTGCGCCGAAAACCCGAACGAAGCAAGCGTAAGGTCAACCCGGTCTATGCCTAACGCACTGGAACGGTATCGATTAAGTGACCAGTGTTGATTTGAGATCAGGACCAATGATCGAAGGTGCATTCGGCTAGTGCAGGTTGTACAGTGTGAATACTTCACCGTGTTGGTGCACGTTACTCAGAATAAACTCCGATTTCTCGTGTACTTGCCCTGCTCGTTCTTCATTGCTGGGGACTGGCTTACTCTCTACTCTAACAGTGTCCGACACCAACAACATCCATTCTCGCTGATGTAGCGTTGAGAATGGGTAGTAGACAATAACCTCGCGTTTTGCTGCTATCAGTAACTGTCGTCCTTCTAGTTTAATCCGTAGATGACTGTAGATGGTGATGATATCAGAAAACTATATTTTACTCTACAATACGCCAGAATACGAAGTCCTTGGCGCCCTTCACATAAACTGGTCTGGTCGACCGCTGACTGAGGATGGTCTGTCTCCATATAGTTAAAAAGGTGATCCACTGCTTAATTCTAGACAAGAGGCATGAAATGATCCGGCGATTCGCACTCAGTTTTCACTGTGATAAAGAAATTGTTTCAAAACAGCTCTACCGTAAGATAAATGAGCTGGATTAATCCTCGGCGGGAACAGAGTTCTTGGGTTGATTTTACTCACTTCTGAGCCCCCTATACTGTGTAGTGTTCGTGTGACACCATTCCTTTCCAGTGTTATTTACTGTTAACCTGGCGATGCGAGTTGTGGAAATTGGATCCACTGCACTTCAGTGCCCTAGCCAAGGATGTCCAAATGAAATGAACTGAACGACGGCGATACCTATTACGGCGGAACGATGCCTTCCACGGCTAAAGCAGCTTTCCAATCTAGGTAAGATCTATGCTGTGTTGCAGCAGTCTATCAATGTCTTAAGTCATTGACATGGCACCATTACTTAAAAAGGTAATTAAAACAAGCCGAATTGTAGATCGAACTGATTCGTCATGCACTTTCGGTCAACCAGAAGCGGAGATTACCAGACACTGGCTTCAGTCCAACAAGTTTACCAATATTATGATACTCATACCGAGGAACATGAACAGTACGTTCCACCTTGATGGAGATAAAGGGATCAAGTTTTATTCGGTACATTGAACCGATCGAAAACGCACGCTTTCTGAAGTATTTACAGTGAGGCCTTGAGGCCATCGCTGGTGTTGATAGTAATGCCACATCTGGTGATCACATCACTGAGGAGGTTACTTCGCGGATCAGCAAGGCACGAGCAGCGTTTCAGAGGCTCAAACATCTACGGAGACGGAGGGAGAACGGTCCATCTGTGAAAGATAGTGCGCATTATGCTAGGATAAGATTGATGGTACTGGGTGGAGTATCGCTCAGACCTAGTGGTAGCACTGGGTGATTAATGCTGAGATTCGTCAGTTGGTTCTTAGAAAGAAACTTGCTGGTACCCCACTGGAGCGTTTGCCGAAGCTCAATCACTACCTATGGGATAAGTCATGTCCCTCTATGTATGCTCATCGACCGGCTTCCTCGGTGTGCATTACACACCGTCGCTGCACCAAGTTGGGCGAAAAAGAGGTGGCCAGTCGATGACTTGGCACAAATGAATGAAGAAATTGACAGAGACTTGGTCTTCGTGGATGAAAGCCCCGGGATGATCCACACCAGCGAAGGGAAATTCCACCTGACATGGCGCAGTCGCGGAGTCCGTGACTTTCCTGTATTCGGTTTCTAGCATCGAACCGTTAATTTTCATTCGGAATAGTTTTACGCAGTTCTTCGTCGAATCCACCATCCATTTGCATTCAACCTTAGTTTCTCACCATCGTTATTGTCACCTTGTTGACACGAGTCGCGGAAACTGGATTCGCCGCACATCGGTGCCTGGGCCACAGTTGTGCAACTGAACTGAATAAAATATTTCTGTTTAAGCTGCTTGCATAGTTTGTTAAACAGCAGGTTCGATACATTACAATTTGTAGTCGCACTCGTCCCGTTATTGGCATTACCGACTTAGTGCAAAAATCAGAAATCGGTTTGCGTGTATTGCCCTCTTGCATGAAGGTCTAAAGATAAGCCACATAAATTGTTAAACCCTATCCGATGTGGCATAAGCACAGGATCAGCAATACTTCTTTATTTGTACCTTTAATCTGACCCCTGATTGATCCATTTAGCTGTTTTGTTTCTTGTTCATTCCTTTATACTAGAACTCCTAGTATCCAAAATGGTGGGATATACCTGGAACAAATAGACAGATCATTAGTTTAGAGATTCTGAAACCCATCTGTACTCACAATAGTACTAGTGATTTAGCGATGTGAGACAGGGCAAGATGACGGACCGCACTTCGTGCGCACACCTTAGTTGACAAACTGAACCGGAATGTGCTGTAGGCTACTAAACAAACTCTCGCGTATCAACTAAATAGCAACCATTTGCAAGACAGATTTACGAAAAAGAGGAAAGCTCTAAATTGGTGAGACGGTGAGATGATTGTGACGGGAACTGCTAGTGTGATGATCCAGCGTTCTATCATCAAGCCAAGGACGTTAGATAGGGATGAGATTCTGAGCAATCTACTCACGTTGCTTCGCTACTTAGGGTAAACTTACCTGATCAGGAACTGGCAATGGATTTGGAAACCCGAAAGTTGACGTGAGCCTTTTCACAGCGTCCCAACCGACACCATGCATGGCTGTGTAAGTAAAAACTTGCTTGCATTTGGAGTTGGTTTCGCTGCAAATGTAAAAACACATTAATTCCCGATTAGAAATTCTAAAAGTGGATATGTTTGTTTTAGGTACACATTGGCTACAATGTGTAGTAAGGGTATCATCAAGAAATGGGGACAGTTGGAGGTATTCCGCTAGGACAAAATATGGTCTATCAGAGTACACTGAAACTGGGCAACCAGAATACAAATTGTGACATTGTATGTTGGATACGAAAATAGAAGTCCATCATCATGTCTACATGGCAGTGGGGATGACAGATGTACGCCGTGTTTTGATGCTCTTTAACGACTAGAGGATGCGTGCGGGCTGGAATGCTGAGAGGTTCTCAACATACATGCGGGTCTGAATTGGTTTCAGGTGAACTGCAACGGTGGACAGTTTAGAGCATGACGAAAAGTGGCGAAGATTTTGTAGTAGGTAATTTGTCAGTTTGCATCGAGCAAAGTAGGGCTCATACATAAAGTTAGCAGACATTGTAGGGAAGACACCGCCAATGGGTTGCTGTTTGGTGCCAATGACCAGAGCCACATTTCATTCATGCGTGCACTCATTAGAACAGATGACAAATAAGCGACCAGACGTCCCAACATTTGGCGCGCTGATTTCCATACATTGTCAAGTTGCCCTGTACCATTTCAACAGCCCACGGGGTACAGACAGCATGAGATAGGTCCAAAGTATCCACACGTCCACGTTTTAGATGGATAGAGGTAAATGGCAAATCACCCATATTTAGTGAAACTGTAGATAAACTACTGAACGAACGAGCCAGGTCTTTGTGGATCTAAGTCTCGATTTGATCAGATAACATCACAAGCATTATCGATTGGGATATATATGTAAGCAGTGACTGAGAGCAGTTCGACTGCGTTATGATTAACAGACTCCGCTTCAACTAATCCAAAGATGAATCAATAAGGGTACATCCAATCTGGTATTGTAGAATATAATGGTACTAGATCGTCGTCATCATCATTAACATCATCAACACACGTTAGCTGGAGGTACTAAACAGACTTAAGCTAATGTGCCGCAATACAAAAAAGATGTACGAGAAAAAATGAGATACAAAGGGTTAGGGAATATAATATGGAATCAAAAAGGTAATATGATACTTATTGTCAAATTAAGCGTCAAGTATGAGAACATGGATAGAGAGGGCGGGAAGAAACCCACAACACAGACGCCAATGAGGCCGGCTCTTCGCCATGTCGACCAGTGTATCCAAACAAACGTGTTTATCGTCTTTCTGGCCTCAGCCCGACGCCAACTTTGAAGTGAGGGTTTTCGTACCTCTTGACCAAGTCATCGCACGGCCTCTCCTCCTTTTCTATCATCCACGCCCTGGTCGCGCAAATAACGCACGACGCGCGAGTCGATGTGCCGGCATGCGCGTGAAATAACGGTGCTGAGCGGATCCCCGTACACACAGGTCGCGACAAGTCCCGGCCGATTGGTGAACAGAACACCTTAGGTTGATTGGAGATTCTTCCTTACAGGATACTGACCTGGATACGAGTTCCAAAACACTCCTTACTTATGGTCCCATGTAAGCAGCCCAAGTAATTGCAACCATGTGGAAGCTAAACACCACCAAAGCTGCAGGTATGTATACCATCCTAAGTTTATGCAAGATCTAGTAGATGAGCTCGCAAAGCGAGTGTTTGACCATCATCATCATCGTCATCATCAAAAGCAGTACATCAGCCATTTGAACTGACGTTCCGCTGTCATATAATTACGGTGACTTACGGAACGAAGAACGAACTGAGGGGATGAAGAGGAGACCTAACGTAAGACCTCAATGCCCTAAACAAACACTCGGGGTCAAGACACTTACACCATGCCACTAACCTACCATCACAAACAGCTGGCTACCGTGCAAAGGCGGTATCAGCGAGACGGCTTCCTTATGGCTTTCACTATCTAGCATCATAATAAGCCATTCTGCCGCAGATAAGTAGGCAGCAAACACACGTTAAACAGGCAGTCCGATTAGACGACAGCAAACACGCCATTGGTGCGGACTGCGAGCCATGTCCTGTAACGTCTAAAAGAAACGTAAGGCATGTAACGTGGACTCCAACCTGGAAGGCGAGACGGGTAAACGGCACCGAGCTTGGTCGTCAGTGACTTTATTTCCCGATGACGAGTTAGTTTTTGCTCATCTCAGGCCTTGCGCCACCCGACATCAGGCAAACAAAACAATGCCTTCTTCGGTAAGCGGTGAGCAAGCTTAAGTTTGAGAGGAATTTGTTAGCTGCGCTTCCAAAAGTGCCAATCAGCACTGGACAGATTAGCACTAGCTGTCAATCGTTTTGGGCTATGCTTTGCACCATTGAAATGCAGTCTTTTTTCAATATTGGCAGGAGCTCAACTCTGAGATGACCCCTAGTGGTGATAAGCTATAAGTCGTTCAGAAATTTAAGCACAGGCAGCTATATTAGCGCCTGTGGAATAGAAAACAGGAGTACCAACCGCATAGCGAAAGCTCGAGGCACTTCTGCCTATCTTCGCCACCACTGGCGCCGGCGCGACATCACTTTAGCTCTTAAGGGCGGAGTTTACAATGCAGCCGTCAGTTCAACCCTTCTGTACAGTTGTGAAACGTGACCCATCAGGCAGATAGACATGAATAGTCTACCTAGCTTCGCAGCTTAACGCATGTCTGGTCGAAACAGAGCGTGAGAAAGAAACTTGTTCGGTGTCTCGTATTTTATGCAGGAAGAGCGAGCGAACCGCTCAGCACCACTATATCGTACACCAGCTCCGATGTCCGGGCCGCATATTGTGTATGCCAGCACACCGACTCCCACGTCGTGCACCGTTTGAGCTATCGGAGATTTGGGCGAAAAAAGTGGACAAGCGATGACACGTTCAAGAAGAATGAAAACACCCAGTTCGAATCTGGCGTCGGTCGGTCTCTCCCGACTGCATGACTGGGTTCCGAAGGGGGATGAACACACTTGTTTACACGGTGAAGAGCCGACTCCAAGGGCGTTTGTGTTGTGAGTTTCGTTGTTCCTTCTCTCTTTGGTTTCCACTCCATTTACGATCGCACGCCCGATGCACATGATATCTAGCAGAGTATTACTTGGAGTTTCATCATCATCATCATCATCAACAGCAGTACATCAGCCATTTGAACTGATGCTTCGCTGACACAACCATGAGGACCTATGAAATAAAGAATAAGAAGAGGGAGAGAAGGGGGACTTACCTAAAAACCTTAATGCCCTAAGCAAACATTCTGGGTCAAGGCGCCTACACCTTGTGTAGACAACATACCGTCACAAACAGCTGGCTATCGTGCAAAGATAAGGCGGCATCGGCGAGACAGCTTCCTTGCGGCTTTCACTGCCACGCGTCATAATCAGCCATTACCCCGCACATAACTCAGCACCAAACACACTTTAAACAGGCAATCCGATTAGAAGACGGCAGCAGACGCGCCACTGGTGTCGGTTGCGAGCCATGTCCTGCAAAGTCTCGAGCCAAGCACAAGGTGAGTCACGTGGACTCCAACCCGGAAGGCGAGACGGACCAACAGCACCCAGTTTGGTCGTCAGTGACTTCATTTCCCGCTGCCAAGTCAACTTCTGTCCACCTCGAGCCTTGCGCCATCCCACACCTAGAAGACTGAACAAGGCCCTCCTAGGTAAGCGGTGACCAGGCATACGTAGCACGTGCCCGAGCCGACGCAACTTATTCAATGCTATCTGTTGTTCTAGGGTGCTAACATGATTATCACTACCACATTACTTGGAGTTTAGTTTTTGCAGTCTATATGTGAGGCCTTAGTTTTTTTATTGTGCCACGTTAGCCCAAGGTGTGTTTTTCACCCTCAGCTAACGTGCAAAGATGATGATGATTACTGGTGACTGTTTGAAGGGGGTTGTCATCTGTTCATTCTAAATAGAGCAACAAGCGACGTCATGAAAACTACAAACCAGTAAGTTTGACCGAGCTGACGTTTAAACCATTAAAGAAACTTGTGAAATATGCTATCAAAAACTAAATGAAAAAAGTTGGGTGGCTCAAACCGCATCGCTAAGATCTTCGCAAGTTATTTCTGCTTCATCAATTTGAAAACTGATCTAAACAGCTGAATTAACTTGAGAGATAAGGCATGAGCCGAATTTTTCCAAGCGTATGACGGTCCTATATTTTTTCTCGTTTTTAAACTACGTTGTTACATCGTTTGTCGATGGATATTTGTGTTTTTAGTGGTGCGTTCCGTTGGGCTTCAGCCGTCCTTTCCGACAGATTGTTTAGCCCAGTGTTTCACAAGGATCGGTCTATGGTTCACTGTCGTCATCGTCTATAAAATAAGGCACCAGATGTGTCGGGCGCGCCCACCCACATGTCCGCATATGACTTGAAGTTTCGGTGCACGGTGAATAATAACTCTCAAACTTTACCCTGGTTTTCTGACAGTTCGCTAGATCTTTAGTACATTCTGCACAACCTTATATGGCGACGTTTGGCCCTTGACGCAAGTGCATCTTCAAGCCAGGGCTCTTGACAAGCTTTGTGACTAGTCTGCTTAATGGTAGATGCCAAGTGCTCAGCACTGCGTATAGGGTGAAATGGGCAGCCGATGAACTACCCGTTTAGTGGGAAGGAAATAAGGCATGTAACGTAACTGGTTGAGCTAGGTAACACTGGGGGAGAACAGGTGGCAAGGATTGCAAATGCCTTTGGAGGATTAGTAGATCATTTCGAGCCCCGGTGAAAGAAAGATTCGTTAACCGTACACAGCCTGGCTTGCCAAAGAACCTGCAAGTGGTACCCGCAGGGTGGTAGTGTTCCAGGTGGTGTTTTCGCGTGACAACCACTCTCACTAGAAAAATCCACATACGTCCATTTAACACTGCGACGTGGCCGACGTGACTCACCATGAAATAAAATCACTGCCACTTGCCTCACTATGGTGGAGCACTGTATTCCAGTAACATGATGCTGAAATCGTTGGGAGGATTGGCAACCGATAAAACGGAAGGCGTATGAACTGAGCAATCAGTTACCGACTTCTAATGGGGGCGATTCCTCGAACTCGCTCTGACGTCTTGCGAACAGGCTATTCAGCAAGGGCTCAGGCTGGTGTCCCCTAAGTCAACACCATACCTCGGCTTGGGCAACCGGGTGGTATCGTGCCCCCTAATGAAACCATGACATCAAAAGTACCCCGGTACGCAGTGCCGAAGTTTCGCTGCCGCGCAACGACCACCAATCGCACGTGGCCCAGAGATACTGCGAGGGTCGCCCCGTCCCCTACGCAGGCCCAAACGCGCTCCGTCGGATTACAAGGCAAGATTGTGATTCACAAGGTTACGGGTTTGAATCAAAGTGCATCGAGAGTTAGGACGTCGTAAATTATAAGCATCGGTAAGGATGTTTCTGCCAAATTTTCGGCGAATTCGTGGCGAGTTAGTATGCATTTATCGCACTTTATAGGATAGAACTATTTTGGCTCTATCAGCCCACTTAGTCACTAAATGTTCGCGGATATCCGATGAAGTTGCAGGAACCCCGCAGTTGGAGACGAGATCCGTTGGTCGTGCACAGTAATAGCTACCTGGAATGCACTACCAGAAGATGTGGTGCTGTCAAGTACGGTGAATAAGTTTGGACATCATATCGATTCCAGAAGCTATGGTTACGAAGATTCTCTTCCAGTTAGCGATTTACACTTTTGCTGTCCGCCCGGTCGGTTTTTGCGTCATATGTCAATAAACTCATTCTCAATATCTGCTACTAGTGCTTAGGGATGCATCTAGCATTACCGTTATTATCCTTTTTGTTAATAAGCAGAGCCCGTGCATTTGGGATTTTTAGTGCAAGCGCATGTGCTTAAATCAGTCGACTATGGTGTGTTCTGCGTGTGATACTTTGGCTCCCGTAGCTACCCAGTTAGGTGGCTGAACTCCATACTGGGTGTACAGCGTAAGCAAAGAGAAACTACCATAAAAATGTCCTTCTGCGCTGCCCAATCAGAAACTGTATAACAGAACGATTTAAAGGAAAAGAATAAGATGGAAGAGGATTTAGGTGAAACAAAATAGGTTGAGTTCACTACCGGAAAGGTACACGCGTAACATAACAGTACTAACTCACGGCGTAAAGCACAAAGCATCCCGTTGCAGTTTGCAATAAGAATCAATTAACTCCGGCATAGGATTACGGCAAAGAGGATGGGTTTCAACAGACTCCCATTCCCAAGATGAATCGCGAGGGACTAGGCACTCATTGATGCACACAGAAATGCCTTTGTCATGAGGGCTGATTATCTGAGAACCATTCGACCAATATACCTAACAAATGGTTTATAGGGAACGGACAAACTGACTTTATATCCGTTATCCTCTTTGGGATTATGGGAGGCCGTTATAACCACCCCAAGGGCAGTTTTGAAATGTCGCACGCCAAAAGCGACCATTGGAGTGGGGTAGTTTTCAGGAAATAAATAAACAAAACATCCGCTTTTAATGAATATGTTAGCGAGGTAACAAGCCCATCTAGTGGTTGCGTCAAGAAATGAGTGGTTTACTTTCGACTGTTGTGACGAGCATCATAACCGACGACGATGCCCATTTGGTTTAGATTACTAAACTGCTGGGAGGAGTATTTCAAAAGACCCTGTAGTTTATCGTTGGTGATAAAAAAGACAATACTTGAGTTGTCTGGATAATCGTCAAGTCATTCATCTGACTGTATCCTGGGCCCATCCTGGCTCGGAGGCCCGCGGTTCCGAACTCCATGCGCTCCAGCAAAAGCTTTCGCAGTTGTTCAACGTCATTATTTTCCTTCAGATGCAAAATCTCATCGCGAGTAGCTTTATTCTAAGAGAAATGAGTCAAGTATGTAACAGCTAACTTTATCCCACTTAAGCCATTCGTCGATTTTTGAAGAAAGGACCCGGTCCATGAAAATAGTTGGATGACCGAATGAAATTAGTGAACGGTAGAGTCAAAAAGCAGTCAAAAAGAGGGCGAGGTTTGTCAACAAACGTCGGATAACCGCGAAATTTGGAGAATGGAAATGACTGCAACTAACGAAGGAGGCCCAAACAATTGTCCGATTGCTCTAAAATTCAATGGGTATAAAGCTATAATAGGTAAATTGTACTTAGTAACATCGACCGTTAAACCCATGTTTGTAAAACCCGGAAAGAAATAAGTATAATTTAAGATGTTACGTGAATTCATTAAGTTCACTGTTATAGATGGGGAGCGCATTCCAGGAATTTATCACTCTAAATGACAAAAGAGTGACAGCTCGAACCCCATGATACCGGAATTTGTGTAACTTCAACGGATGCCCACGAACAGTAGGTAACCGATCAGGATGAAAAAGGCAGAATAGGTCTGGGACGATCCGCCCTGTTAGTATACAATAAGTGAGTACCAAATCGCCACGAAAACGGCGAGAGTGTAGTGAGAACATCCTCAGCTTGAGCAATCTGTCAAGGTAGGACAGGTGCCGCAGCCCTCGGACCATTTTGGTACCACTCCTCAAGAGAAGCCCTACCGCCATCTTGTCAAGAGTCAGAAAAGGAGGACAAATCTGGAGGCAGTCCTCCAACTGCGGTCTAACAAAGGCCGTAAAGAACTTAATAAACATTTCCGTCAGCACCCCAAATGATTTGCGGATCATCCAGAGGTTACGGAAGCTCTGTCTAGCCGCCCGTTTTCAGTTCTCGTTGGAATTGAGATCCGGAGTTAACGTAACACCTAAGTCAACTTGCTAGGGCACATGAGTTAATTCGTTCAAATTCAGATGGGACTGGGACGATAGGAAAATCCCTTGAGTGTTCCTTCTTGAGCGGATCCTTGAGCTAGAAGATGATAAAGTGCTACGAGATCTTGATGGATATAAGAGGAAACACCCGAACCACACCCTGGTCAACCAATCACTGCCCACGGTCCCTGCACTAGCAGTCCCCGTTATGCAGGTCTTGTGAAGTAAGGAAGACGTAGAAAATGGAAGATGGAGAGGAAGGAAAGTCAGTTAAATGAAGGGTAACACCGAGGAGTGAGGAGAATGACAGAATATGAACTCTGTTAGAAAATGGACATGGTCAAAAAAGGGAAAGGTTTCGTGCTGCCAACCAAGAGCGTTTAACTGAAGCTCGAAACCCTTAACCGTTGGTTCACTGACTACACTTTCTGGAAGCGAGTTCCAGCGCCCGATAACTCAACACGATAACCAAGTTTCCGCCCTGATTCTGTCAGAACGCGGCTTGTGTAGCGTCATGGGATGACCGCGAAGACAAGGTAATCTAGCCGGGATAAATAGCCAACTCGAGTCCAGCCTAACCTTCCGTTAAAATGCGGCAAGTAAGGATTAGGCCTGCTCGAAGCCGTCAGTAGTGCACTGAATACATACCCAAGCTAAGTAGACGGGCGGGGTACGTTTGCCCCTGTAATCTATCGACCAACTTGGTACATACTCTCAAAAACCTCTCGAGCTCCATTTTGTCCCGAAATAAGCAGCGCGGCCAAGCCTAGACGCAGTATTCCAGATGGGGCCGAACGAAAGCTGAGTAGATTCACAAAGATGTCGGCAGTTAAGACCGCGAAAGAACGGTGTATTAACCACAACATGCTGAAAGCCCCACATGCGGTCTTCTTGCAGTTGTCACCAGAATGCAAAGAGGAGGAATAGACGGCGCCTAGGTCTACCTACTTGGAAACAAAGGGGAGTTCGACCCCGCCGAACACGCAGCTCGAAAGTGGGAAAGTAACTTCTATACGAAGGACAGAACACTTAGCCTGATTGATGAATAGTAGCCATAAAGTAGATCAGTCCCAGAGTCTGTCCAGGGTATACTGAATGGCCTCAGGACCTCCAGAGATATCTACTACATTCCACAGCTTAAGGCCATCTGCAAACAATAGCAATGATATCCCAAGCTCCCCAAGGAGATCGTTTACGTAGATAGAGAACAGCATCGGTCCAAGGACCGAGCCTTGTGGGACACCACTAAGGACTGTTTGCCTAAAGGCTAAGCTACTACTCGCGCGTGTACACAGCTCTCTTCCCTGCAACAATGTAGATACCCAGTGAAGGGCGCGGCCAGATACACCCTAAGAGCTCAGCTTTTGTGATAGCCCAAAGTGGGGTACCTTCTCAAATGCTTTCGAAAAGTCGACGAATAGCATATCCACGATGTGGCCATTGTCCATTGCCTCGACCCAAGCTTCACGAGCAACCAACAAATTCGTCAGACACGAAAACCCCTTCTGGAATCCGTGTTGTGCACTACTGAGCAGATTAAATCTATTCAGGTGGCCTTCCAACGAATCCTTCACCAGCTTTTCAAGCAGTTTGACCACGACGCTAGTCAGACTGACTGGCCTATAATTGGAAAAGACTGCTGTCGCCATTTTTCAAGATTGGACAGATGACAGCCTCTTTGCATTCAGAAGGCAAGATACATCTGTCAAGTGATTTTTGAAACACCATCGTCAGCGGTCCACATAATTCCGACGCCAAGTCATGCAGAACCTTCGGGTGAATTAAATCAGGTCCAGCTGTTTTAGAAGGATTCAGTACTTGCAGAAGCCCAAGGATTTACGTTTCCACCACAGTAAATTCAACTAAATAAGAACCCTCAGAGACTCTAGGGACAAGTGCAACGCTAGTCAACGCCTCATGTAACAAAGCCCTTGCATACTGCGCACCAAATACACGAGCCTTGGCAGAGTCCACATACGCATGAGTTCCATCGGCCCGCATCAAAGTTGGAATTACTGAATTTGAATCACAGCACCTCCTAACATAAGTTCGGATTTTCCGAAGCCCCATCGGTCAATCCCTTTTCGTACAACAGCCGAGCTTTTCTCTAGCGTTGTTTACATATAGTTCTAGCCTCGCGGCACCTATCATAGGTGCTAATTGATGGAGCCGCACGGTAGGTCCACCAGCACCTAGAATGCTTCTAGAGCAGGTACTTGCCAGTGGTATCTATCCATGAGGGCAGTGCTCGTGGTTCTTTTCTCCTCATAAGCGGGATGTAAGGAGCAGACACTTCCGTAAGATTTAAATTTATCCCAGGCCGGCTGAACCGTATCGGACACCGAGATTTCGCAACGCAACCCAGAAGCGTTGATACGCATTGCCTGATAGTTAGCATGCCATATGTTTGTATATGGCTCAGCGATGCTCTGATGACGTTTGGTCAGAGCACAGCTGAATGAAAAATAGACATGATCACTGACACCTAAGGGCGGGCGTAAGTAATGTCACCTACGAAGTCTCGTGACGTGACAAAAACTAGGTCCAAAATAGACAGTACTTGGGCGCCCATGCACCTAGTGGGGAGATCCATGAACTGATGCAATGGTAATTGCAGCATAATCTCAAGGAGATCTGTACCGAAAGTACCTTCCGCTGAGTTGCAAGAAAGATATGCCAAGCAAACTTCCGGTAGATTGAAGCCGCGTAGTATCAAACTCCTTTAAAATGTTTCGAAATACTGGTAGCTCGGGTTGATGAATCAATTGTTCATTTGTTCTCCGAGCTTGGCGGTTTTCTCGCAAACCTTTCACCACCATGCGAAATGGCATCCTCAGTGCAGTGATATGTAGCGTACAAGCTTACTAAATGAATTCTCCATCCATGATCGACCTGCAGGTGACTTTGAACGTGGCAGTGTCGATTTAGGTCCCGTGACCTCTACCCACTTTCCCCAAGGTTAAAGTCGGCGCCCGAGTTGTTCTGCCTCGAACCGCGTGGCAAAAAGTCCTTTATTTCTTTCTGTCGTCGTGATTCGTATATTGAATCGATGTCCACGCGCATGTTGATTGAATGTTTCGTTGAGAACCAAGCTTCCAAGAATTCTCTCTCTTTTCTCGTTTCACCCCGTACCAGGACTTCTGCTTTGCTCCAATCGAAGCTATGTCCTTCTTCATCTACATGCATTGAGACTATCGACGATGCATAATGCGGCATACAGGCTCTCTTATGTTCCTGTATCCTTGTTACCAATTTTCTTCCCGTTTGGCCAACATAATCCCTTTCGCAATCTCGGCAAGGTATTTTGTATACCACATTGCGTTGTTTATGTGCCTGCAGTTTTTCTTTTGGTTTTGAAAGCGTTTTTGTCAACGTGGTAGTTGGTTTGTGTGCTACGATGAGATGATGCTGTTTGAATAGTCTGGCTGCCATTTCCGATATGTTCTTCATATAAGGCAGAACAACCCGTTTCTCCGTTGTCGTTGTTGTTGTGTTTGTTGTTGCCGCTGCTGCTGCTGCTGCTGTTGTTGTTGTAGGCTGTATGTTGACGTTGTTGTGATGCAGACACCTTCGGATGAAGCTTCGTGGGTATCCGTTGAGTTGGAAACATTTAAGTAGGTGTTCTTCTTCCATTCGCTTTGCTTCTGTGGTACTACAGTGCGTTTGCACTCTGCGAAACAGTGTCCGGACACAGCTTACTTTGTGGCATTTCGGGTGGTTGCTGTTAAAGTTCAGAATTTGGTCTGTGTGTGTGCCTTGTCTGTAGACCGATGCTTGCAGTTCGCCTTCCATAGCTCTTGTTACTAATACATCCAAGAAAGGGAGCTGCCTTTCCTTCTCCAGTTCCATTGTAAATTGGATCCCTTCCATGGCGTTATTCAATAGCTGTTGTGCGACTGTTATTTGGTTGCGTCTGATTATCACCAAAGTGTCGTCCACATAGCGAACCCACAGTTTGGATTGATGAGTGGTAGTTACTCCGCCTCCAATTTCTGCATGACCATCTCTGCGATGAGTCCTGACACAGGTGATCCCATTGGTGCGTCTTTCAATTGCTCATAAATCTTTCCACTGAATGAGAAAGGAGGTCGACAAACACAAGTGGAGTAGTTTGCATATATTTTCGGTCGTCATTTTCCGATTTGTTGTTCACAGACATTCAGCCGTTCTGTGATTACCGCTATTGCTGTCTGCAAGTTAACAGACGTGAAGAACGCAGTCACGTCGGGTGATATCCTTGTTACATTATTATCTAGTCGCAGGTCTTTGATCTTTTGAAGAAACTGCTGGGTATTGGTTATGGAATATTGCGATCCATAGGTCAAATGTTTGAGGCGTCTCCACATT